AAAGGGTGAAGTGGCGAGGGGTCAGAAAAGAGTGGAACGGGGGATAGGGTTCGAGGTAGCCGAAGGAGGACGAGGGAGGAAGAGAGGAAGGAGGCGAGTGTATAACCACCCTGGTACCCGAGTGCATTCGGCGAAAGGGGCCACGAGAGGAGAGAGCCTTCGGTGTTCCGTTCGGTTCGCTTCGGTTTGGGTCCGTGAGAGTACGCGAACGATAATTCGGAGCCGCGCGCACGCGGCTGACTCAAAGGATCCGCGGGACGATATATCAATGCCTTGCTCGCGGAACAATTCGAACTATCCGCGATACACAAAGAAAAATACCAAATCGAATGCCTGGAATAGCGACGAGCGGAGCCCACGGCTCCTTCTATCTCTCTTTTCTTCTCCGTCCCACTCTCTCGAACCCCTGGCCATCTCTCGTTCCTCCGCAACCCCCCTCTTCGCCCTTCATTCACCCCCTTCGTGCAGTGTCCCTCTCTTTCTTCGTCGAATCTTTCTCCTATTCCGGTGACCGGCACCGGGTTCTCTCTTTCTTTCTTTCTCTCCCTCTCTCTCTCTCGGTTCCCTCTTTTGTACGCACCACCCTGCTTTCCCCGGGGCTCTTAGACCGGCTGCCGATGTCAATGGACTGCCGCTCGGGGACCCGGGGCTCTCTCTTCTCGGACCCAACCGCGCATTCATGCGGCGCGTGTAGGTACCGGCGCGGTCGCGATCGGGAATTCGTCCGGGATATATCCTTTTCTCTATTGGGATGGGCTGTAAGGTATAAATTAGCGGAAGGTGGGACAGGCTGCGAGATTACAGCCGCGTTGCGCGGTGAGGCGCGGTGTTGGCGAGAAATGGATCTTGGGGAAAGGGCCGACGATTTTCGGTGAAATTTATGGGGATGGGATCTGGCTGGAAACGGATTATGCGCGCGGAGGTGTGATACGATGGCTGATTCCTTAGGGAAAAATGAAGAGATTTCTTTGAAACTTGGCTTTTGATTTTGGTATTCGGTGTTTTATATTGTTACTTGAAGTAATTGATTTTTATTTGGACTTAAGGCGTTTGGAAGTGATTTGTCCGAAAAAATGAGATTTTGTACTTTATGTGTACGCGTTCTTTTACAAACATTTAAATTTTGTTACAGTAATTATCTGTATTTGTTATTTGTTACTGTCAGTTGCAATAGAAACGTAACAATGTCAGTGTTTCATTAGCGCGTTGAATGCTGCGCGATTTCATAAAGCACAACACACGTAATGGGAGAAATATAATATTACATCATTTGATAGAATTGCATTATTATTATTGCACGTGCATCTGGCTGAATGTCACTACATTATGTAGCATTATTTATAATATAGAAATGCTTTCAAATAATCACCGTTTAATTAAGTGAACTATAGTAAGTCGATATGGTTGGGGATCACGGTGACCCTCATGGCATTCAACGTGTTAATTATGAAACACTTGCAAGAGAAAACTCAAATTTTCCTACATGATCGCATGTTTCCCGATTTCATTCTACTCTGTTCCCATTTCCCGTTACCCACTTTTCCTACTGTCAAATTATGTTATCCTCGATGATCTTCTCCATTCATACTTCAGCTTCACAGCGACCTTCTCATTACCAGGATCTAGTACAAGCCAGAAACATAATATTGATCACGTCTAGCGCAACAAATTCATTCAATCCACCTCACAAAGGTCTAGTTTTCACTTCTAACCTACTCACTCAATTACAAAATCATATTCCAAACATTTATCTACAACAATTAATAATTATTACAAATACATATATCTCAAGCAATAGAGAATCTCATATTCGTTATCATCCAACATTTTCAATCCCCTATCTCGCAGTCGCCCGAAGGCACCGTCCAACATTTCAAAAACTATTCCACCAATTGAATTTTTCCCCGTTATACCCAGTAATCAGCGCGCAGATCATGCCACCGATCACAATCGACGAATCAAAGCGTAAATTTTCCGCTGGCGGGGCAAAAATATCGACCGCGCAGGAAAAGGTCTGGCATAAACAAAGTCGCACGCGCGGATCATAGGGAACACGCGCGCCTTGCGCCGGAGCCGCGGATCCGACTACACGCCAATCGAGTGATGGAGCAGTGGTTTGGTTATAATTGGATCAGTTTAGTTAGGTATTGCAAATATTGGCAGCCAGGGAAGCTGCCGGCGACCCAGTGATGAAACCTAATTGGGTAAGTCGGCCTGGCTTGGCGCCAAACGAACCGGCCCAGCTTCGAATTCTAGATACCCCGATGATGCCTTCCATCTCGTCTCTATTCCACCCTCCCCCCGCCAGCTGACATCGCCCCCTCGGCACCGGTGGTTGTCGTCGTATCCGTCGGCGCACGGAAATTGACACGTAAATACAAGGCGCATCGCGTATAGGCGGAAACTGGAAATGGACGACGGGGAATTCGTTCAACCGGCTGGTTTAATTGGACTGCAATGTTGCGACGGGACACAACCACGCCACGTCGAAATTGCATTGACAAAAGAAGACGGGGATAGATGCCGGGGAACGATGACGAGAGCGAGAAAGAGGGAGAAAGAGGGGACGACCAGGAATGAATGATTTGAATTATGTAAACAACACGAACCGAAGGTGGCAAATAACGTCTAATTTGGTATCACGAAAACAATTTTTTCGGAATGTTAAATGCGTCCGTTGTTTCGTCTTGGTTTCGTTTCAGGTGACGGCGAAGGTGGATTCAAAGTTATTTTATAGGTGTTTTGAATGTGGGATTGTGATGCGAGATGCTGACGCTCGGATAGTTTCGTTTTTGAAGTTCTTTTAAGTATCAAGCGGAGAGATTTAGTACAGTGAATTAGTTTTGAGAAACGGTTTTATGGTTCTGTGTATTGTTGAGTTATATACTTTTCGAGTTCGTTAGAGTAAACTGTGAATAATTTATGAACTATTTAATTAATTATGATGTATTTAAGTTTGTACGTTTTTCGTTTCATAAGAGAATCTACTAATTTAAATATTATATTTGGTAAACAATGACAAGAATTTGTTAGGTGGTTTAGTATAGTATCCTTATTATGTATATAATAGTTAATGCAATTGAAATAATACAGCTGACAATTATTCGCTGTTTGTATTTATCGTGAAAACTAATATTAATAAAGTGTTCATGTTCATTTTATTACTATCTTCTGACGCAGTCAGTGTCGTAAAACTTATGTATAAATAACGCGTTGATCTTAAGTTGGTCAAAATATATTCGATTGTGCGTAAACTCATTTTTCTTCATTTTTAGTTTATTTATGGAAAATGAATCATTTGCTGTTTGATTGTACCATGATCCTCGATATGCAGTATACAGAGTGTCTTATAAGTAACTTTTTAACCGAGAAGCATAAGTATCATTGTACGATACATAAAAAAGCAACTCCAAAACACGAATTAGAATCTTTACAACTGAGACAAAAATAAGATATTTTAATCCGGATAAAATGAAGCGTAAATAATTGCAAAGCGCCTGTTATTCTACTCGGAAAAGTGGTTAAATAACACGAAATAAAATTTTCTTATTAAAACACAAATCGAATTTGAATACATTCTCTCAACAATTAGTCAAATACAAGAAGTCTCGAGAACAAAATATCAAACACAATAATTTTATTCGATGTTATCTACTAATTTCTTCATGTAAAATAAATTCATATAAATTACATCAATCGTACTAATTGTCAGTTAAGTAAACCGCACCTACTCGATAAATTTTTAATTTTAATTTCCTCGAGAAGCTGAAATGAAAAAATATCATTTCATATTTTCAATTCTTCGATTGTACCATCGAATTGGTCACACAGTATATGAAAAGGAAAAAGAATCGATAGTGCTTCTTCAGCGATTCTTCGATCCGCAGTGAATACGATACTTCGGAAAGAAATTTCGGTATGGGGTGAACGAACCGTAGGAGAGCGACGTGCTCGTCACTCGGGATGCACCATGCATTGTAAACGAGCCGGGCGACAAGTGTGCACTTGATAGTGTTGACCTTTCAATGACGCTAAGCTACTCCTCATCGTTGCTGTTACCATCTCCTCTTTCTCCCTCCGCTCCCTTCTCACGTTTTACCTATACGATCCACTTCAAGCTAATTTTCAAGAGAACGATCGTTGAGCACCTGGATTATTACGCGATGCAATTACCGAGTGCATCATTATAAATTCATTATTCCGTGTGAATTTCTTGAATACGTTCGCTACCAACATTACATATTTGCAAGGATTACAATTTTATACTTTACATAAAGAAAAAGAGATTAATGATATTGTTATTTAAAGATGAAAGATATGATATGATATTTAGGAATTTAATAACATTTTTAGTTTTAATTTTTCAATATTTTATTTGGAAGACTTGTTGGGTTTAATAAAATGTTACAACTAAGAAGATTGTCGAAACTGTTGAAATTTTAATTATCTAGAAACGTTATTTACCATTTATTGTTTACTATTAAAATGCTTATCATACTGAGACTTAGTTCTTGCATATAACTACTAATACCGAGTTAATTAAATTTACTTACTTATTTATTAAATACACTTAATTAGTGTTCATTAAAGTTACATATTATCACTATTTAAAAAACGAGATAATAATTTGATAGGTTTTTTTATTTCTTTTAATCATAGAACTTATACCAGTGAATGAATTTTAAGCTTCGTATTATTATATAAACTGCAAAACTTGCCAAAATAAAGATTATTATGAAGTTCTTAAAAAATCCTGATACAAGAAATTACAATCTGCCTTATCATTTTTCTCACAAATCACTGTCCAAAATTGAAATTTGGGACGTGAACATTCATGGTTTATTAATCACTCTAAACGACAAAATAAATGAGCATCGGTGATTAATAACGATTGTCAGTTATTAAGCAAATGAATCATTGGGTAATTATGTGGAATTGTAAGTGTCGAGGCGAATGGGAAGCATGAACGGACGACGGAGGTCGTGGCAAGTTCGAGGTTAATCGTTCGTTTGGCATGACGCGCCTCTTGGACCGCCCACATTACATAAGACGAAAACGAAAACTAGAAAAATGATATCGGTATAAATGACTGGCACTATCATGAACAATACCATATTGTAATCGTCTATTATGAAAACGAAATATAGAGAATGTACATAACAATTATTATTATTACAAGTGTAATACAGTTACAGTATATTCAAAATTCGAAACGTTAAATACAAAATTGGGAATTCAATAAAAGTCTATGTTCATTATTACAGACATTATTAGATGTGATATACAATTTAATAAGTTCTGTAAATAAATAATGTTAACAGTTTAATTTTCATGTATAAATAATACTGAATTTAGTTGTAATGTGATTAGAGCTGTGAATATATATAGAGAGATAGTGGTTAGCATAACGTTAATGTAATATTTACAATGGCCATGATTGACTAAATAAATATTTTATCATTCCTGTACTAGCTTATTGGATGTGGTCGTGTGCTAACCGTTATTGTGACTTGATTTTCATATTCCTCTCATCCCGCATAGTACGGAACTTATTTTTAACCTCTCCATTTACACCATTAATTATACAAAATGTTCTTTTCTATACAACAGAGTACACCATTTTTTTCATATTTCTAATTTTGGACTTTCGTAATACATAATGAAACTTTCAAAGTGAGCAGAAAAAATGACACATATAACATATTTTACATAACCAATTCAAATAATATTAATTCCTCTCATAGTATAAGAAATTTCAATATTAAAGAGGAGTTATTAAAAGGAGTATATTAAAAGAAGGCTGTAATTAGATCTCCGATCTTGGAGTTTCGAAGATTTAATTTAATTTAACTTAAAATCTCTAATGAAAATACGAAACAACAAGAAAATGCAACCCACACTCAAATATTCCGTAAAACAATAAACACCTTTACCTCATTACAGATTAATCAAACACATATGGAAGAATATATTTAAAAACTGTTTCTTTTAATTACAGTATTCTCATGTTTCAAGTATTCGAATAACGCGGTGAATATCTGTAGTTCCTTATTCCCGCTAATAGAGTCTCACCTGTGTTACGATAAAAAAGTATCTGTATAGCAAGAAACGAAGAGAATCGCGCCGGGATTCCCGTGAAAAAAATGAACGATTCCGCCGCGAAGGAGGTAAACGAAGGGAATGATCCAACGAATGACGAAAGAAGAAAGCATGGATGCTCGCGGTGCGAGGCGCGCGTACGGTTGCGCATGCGATTGTAGGTGCGTTGTATACATATGTATAAAGTACACAAGCTGACGGTGGATCACGTGAGCGAGAGGGCCCCAACGACCGGCGCGGCCCCAATGAATAATTCATGACGGGTTGCGGAGTCACGGGGTCCCATGATCATCGCAACACACGCGGACTGCCGGCCGCGCTACGCTCGCTGCCTTCTCTCCACGAATTATCGTAGACTCGTTCGAACCGACCTTTACGCGGTCATTACGCGGTTTTATTATTCCCGCCGCCTCATGAAACTATGCTCAAGGACGACTTGCACTTCCCAGTCAATTTTTCGAGAATTCTTTAACACTAGACAATCACACTCGTCAAAATCGTCATTTTGAAAGGCTGAAGATTCATAATAGACAAGTAATATTTCATTTGTACAAAAATGAATAAATAACATTTACATTCGTCGAATTCGGTTGAAGATTCTAAACATTTCCTATAGTATTACTCATTCCTTCATAACAAAGATGAATGGTATGAGAATCAATTGCCTATTAACAATAGAACTATTTCACCCGTAAAAATGGCCGGTTTCAGTTTTCTTATCTGTCAATTATTGACATCTTGAAAGCGTTAAATATCTGAACTCACTTGGGAGATAAATAGCTTCACTTCAATACTACAATCAGTATACGAAGTAACCGAAAAAAAATCTATTGTTACAATTTTTGTAAGGATTAATCATGTTAAATGTTCGGTTCTTCTGGCGTTAACATGTCCTGTGCTACCCGAAATTTCGGTTGTATTTGGCTTAAAAAATATTCCGAGTTTCTTAAAAATAAAATATTATGTTATATTTAGGTTTTTGGTAACTTTTATTGTATTTTGATATCATTTCTTTACATTTCCGATGGTTTACAACGTACCCCATCCCTGGCCATATGCCTCGCAACAATATTTTCTTAAGATTAGCGTGTGCCATAGTATACGCGATACTGAACGTGTTAACCCGTTCGCCACGATAATATCAGAGGAAAACCGACCACTGTAAACTACGAAGTTTTATGCATTTATACGAAACTTGAAAGTGCAACCATGTACAGAACGTGCATAACGTAAGGAAATACATAAAGTGTCTAAACTATACTGTTTTTTATAACGTTTGTTAGGAGAAATCAGTTTTTGTCATAATTTCGTTTTTCTAATGACGTTTTTAAACATCGGAATTTGCATAAAAATCCATAGCATAGATAGCAATTACGAACTGGCCAATTTAAGTGGAACTCAAGGATGAAAAATTACCCGCAGATTAAAAATATACTACATCTATTTTACTGTTTTACAACTCAATCAACCCATTTGCAGCACGATTTGGTGCAACTGTTCACATATACGTGACACTGGTAACGAAAGGGTTAATCAGACAATGAGACGCACGTGTATGCTTCCTACCAAATTGCGGCGTTAATCTTCCACTACTCTGTTCCGCGAAATTTTGACACGTTGTTGGAGGATGCGGGGGGATACAAAATACAAAAAAAAACACTAATTACTGTAGACTATTCCGCGGCTTTGCCCGGAAACGACAGTGATAACGAGTTTAGAGAATAATGGG